CCCATAGCAAAATTTAGCAGAAACGTCCTCTATTGTGGACTGGATGGAGGAGGCCTATCAAGAAAAAAAAAGAAGATTATAGTATGCAAAGTCATTAATAACAACATTACATGTTGCTTTGTAGTGACCCCTTCCCCTGCACCTAGAACACATTCTTGTTTGTATCGGGACACCTCCATTCTTGCTTCTTTTTCTTACAATCTTTGGATGACCAACCTGAGTAACATGTACTAGTGGAAGTATTATCCTTGGTGGGGCATCATCAGAGACCCATGCTTCTTTTCCTCGCGTATGCACCCATTCTTCCTTGTAGCTCTCCATGTAAGTTTCTTTCTTGTAGTGGACAATGCAAAACTCGTAGGGGTTTATGCCAAAAGCTTCGATGCATATAATAGCATGCTCGCAAGGAGTACCCATTGTTTGAAACCAGTTGAACATGCATGATCTCTTGTTCAAATCAACATCATATCACATGACCTTTGGTTACTAAAAATTGTCCAAGCAGTATCTGATGCCTTACGATATGTGAAACTCTTCCCAATATGTCGGTTGTGCAAAAGCAACTCATGACACCACTTTGCAACTGGAGTTTATAGCTTAGAAGCATCAGTGTGATACATTAGAAAGTGCTTTATGATATTGTTGCGAATGTCATCAGCCCAAGATGTACCCAGAAACATTCTTTCTGAGATGATCATCTTATTCCTTTCTGGGATGATCATCTTATTCCAGCTCTCAATATGGTTTGTATATATATCATTCCATATCTAATAAATCGAGGACATAAGGTAGTTAAAAGTGAACAAATAAACAAATCTAGCAGACATATTAGCTTCAGCAGTGGATAATTTATATTCTTTTTGAAAATTTATAAATAGATATGTAGAAGTCTTGATGTGCAATATAGCGGACACATTTAAGTTTTTTCAAGACAAATAAAAAGTTTGATAATATTACCTTGATTGTCTCTCAAATGCACTCGCCCACTTTTTTACACGGTCAACCTCTAAAAGTTTGTCATAAGCTGTCTTTGAAATCCATATTTGTAGTATAAATCCCCAAAATTCAGACTGGATGAGACAACCTGCTGCTGTTTTCACCAAGCTTTGTACTTTGTTATTCCCATATCTCATGGCCAAGTGTTGAGCACAATACATGTGGGAAGCATTGGGAAAAATCTTTGGTAAACTTTGAATAATGCTTTTATGCCTATCAGAAATGTGTTGATGATAAAACATAAATATTCTCTCTTGAATGTGCTTCAATGATAATGCTTTAATGCTTCATTTATAACATTCATAAAGATTTCATTGTGCAATAAGTACAAGAGGACAACAACAACATCCAAATTTATTACTCATCCTAAAAATAACATCTTCAATGCTTACAATGAACGACCCAAAAAAATAACTAACTTTCACATTTGAACCCATCAAAACAAAAGTTTTCAAGTTAAACCTTACCACAACTAAGAATAATTTTCTCATGTTGCTCCTTATACTTTATTGTTTTCTTAGTTGTCTTCTTTGTTGTATTATTTTTGTTCATCATGGTTAGAAGATGAAAGTAATTGGACAAATAAAAAAAAACAATTTGATGAGGTTATTCTGATTTTTGGAGCCAAGAATAAGTACTAAGAACAAAAGGAACAAGAAGATAACTATCTTTTGTTTTTTCCGCTAAAATAAAAGACATCTATTTTTTGTTTTTTCTATTTTCCCACTCAAATTCATGTAGCGGATATTTAACATTCAAATGAAGACATTTGGATACAGTCTAGAATATTTTAAAGTCGTAAACTGAATACATGTTTTACTATAAACAGTGTCATCTAATACAACAACTCAAAATAGATCTAAAATAAATCCAACGGTTGGGAAAACCTTGTATGTCAGTCACAGACATTTAATGAAGAGAGAGGACATAAATTGTTTGCTGAAAAGTGAGATATGATGTTGACAACTCTTTTTTTTTTTTTTCGATAAAATAAACCTTATATTAAATAATGCAAAGAGATTCAATAGAAGAATTACAAATAATTGGGATTGCACCCATATTATGGCTCTTTGCCCAACTAGCAATACTATGGGCATCAACATTGACACTTCTTTTACACCAAATAAAATTACAAAAATGAAAAGAATCCAAAAGACTTAATAAGTACTAAAAAACAGTCTTCCCAGTCCAGCAAATAATATCACTATTCTTGGAATTTAAACCATCAATAACTACTTTACAATCTCCTTCAAGTAGAACATCTTTAAGATTAAGTTTAATAGCAATCAACACCGCACATTCAGCAGCCACAACTTCAGCAGTTTCAGCATTATCTGCTCTAAAATTTTTGTATCCACAAGCCAAAACACCACCATAACCATCTCTGACTATAACACCAGCAGTTGCCTGTCCTGTTTCCCTGTTAAAACCAGCATCAAAATTGACTTTAATATAACCTGGAGGAGGCGCTAACCATATTTCTTCAACCTGTACAACAGGATCATCTTCATTTATAATATCATTTTCTTGATCACATAAATATCCTTTTTTCCATAAATTCCAGGCATGACTAGTTTTATGCAAAACATTATCATTTGAACAACGAACTTTAGAAAAGATACATTCATTCCTATGTAACCAAATATGATAAATGAGATATATAGCATATGAATAATGTCCTGAATTTTCCTTAACATCCTGACACAACCAAGATATCAACTATTCAACCCATCTCTCTAAAGTCCAATCTGCCCTACTATCTATACTAACAGACATAGGGCATATGACCCAAAGTCGTTTAACCCATTCACATCCAAAGAACAAATGTCCAAAGAACAAATGTTCTATGGTTTCTACATGTTCATCACACCAACAACAATTATGATTACCCAAGAAACCACGACTTTGGAAGACAGACCCTACAGGGAGGCACCTTGAGTATAGTTTCCAAAGAAACAGTATCAAATTAGTAGGTAATTGTAATCTCCATATTTTTTTAAGTAACTTTGAATTAACTCCCCTACTAGATGATGTCTCATTTCTCTGCATCTCAACATGATATGCATTTTTAACCTCGAATTTACCCTTTCTACCCCAGAACCATATTAACTCGTCAATACCAGTTCTCCTAATTTCGATATTTGAGATACAACTCCACAAAGGTGCAGGAAGTAGATTTTGAATAAGACTCATATCCCATGAGAAAGAATTTTGATCAATTAGCTGAAAAACTAATAAAGCTTCCATCCCTACTGGAACTTCTACAAGGTTACACAATAGAATAGGACTACTTTGCCAAACTACCCATGGGTCAAACCAAACATTTATATTTATCCCATGAGCAACTCTCCAAATGGAACCGTTTCTCACTAATTCAACACAACTGCTCAGACTATTCCAAAACCAAGAACATTCTCCTTTCTTCTTGCTTAACCCTTTCCATTCATCACTCCAATTAGCATATACTCGCCGAAAGACACAAGACTATAACCGATTAGGTCCGGTTTGGAAAGAATCCGGTTTTTTGGTCCGGTTTAGGAATAAGCCTCATAATGTTGGGATTTTCTAGGAAATTACCCATATAATTTCCCAAAATAATTAGACAAATAAAAATAGTTTGGGCTTTGATTTCAGAAGGCAAGCCTTGAAAATATTCAGTAATTTGGGCAAGCCTTAAAAGTCCAGTCCATAATGTCCAAATTAGGGTTTCCCTACCTTTAAAATTGAAGCGAAGACCTCATTTCAACCTTCTCTAATCGTTACAAAGAGAGAGGTGGACGTGGAACTAAAGCCCCTCCGTTAAGAGTAGCAGTTGAAGAAGAAGAAGATATCGACATGGTAACTTTTTTATCTTTAATTCTTCTTAATAATCGTATTATTACTAGTAATCTCGTGATTTCATAATCTGAAATCTGAATGTAATTATGTTGTTAATGTTGTATTACAGGTGAAGTATTCAAAGGAACCTGATAATCCGACTAAGTGTAAGTTTTCTTAGATCCATCTCTTTTTGTCTGATTTGGGTTTCTTTGCGTTTGGGCTTTAAAGTTTTAGGCGTAAAGAGTTCTGATT